TTTTCCCAGTTTGGAGGGAAGAAGCAATATTTTTTTTATTTAATGGACAGGCAAAACGGGTGCTGCTGCTCCTCCCCCCAAGAATATATCATCCGGAATACAATGTTCATAGTGTCGACATCAAGTCACCTGATAATTTTCAACAGCCATCTGAAAACTAAAAAGTAACCAAATTACACACACTTATTGTCATCAAGTCAACACAACTCTACAGATAAAATCAACTATTTACAACCACAGCAAGATGGATCGACAGAGTTGTGTCGTGTTGTGCACCGTCAAGTCGGAAATGACCCATAGCTGATCCTCCAGTGGGTTTTCTGAGACAGTTAATGGCAAGAGGGGAGATTGTCTATACTTCTCCTGCGGAGCAGCTGGTGGATTAGAAATGTTTGCCTTCAGGATTGCAGCGCAGCATCTTGCCACAGCTGGGTCATCTAAGCATGGTGTGGATTTCAGCACAGCAGGTACTGTAAGAGGACACAGGACCAGCCAGGATTCATTCTGCTGCTTGCAGGTTGCTTGTGACAGAACCTGCTTAAAGGCAACTAACAGCAACATTTTATAACAATATCTAAATACTTGTTTCCAGACACTTTACAAAGATATTGAACATTCCTTTTCAGATACTATCTGACTTTCTACTTGGCCGCATGTTCTCCATATGCAAAGGTGTGACTTTCTGCTCTGCATTTTTAATGATTCCTATAAAGTTAGTCACAAGTGTCTGTTCACGAGTTGTAGGCCAAGGTAGGGCCAGGCGAGGCTTGTTTTAAACTGATGATTTATTCATGATTTTGGCAAGTTTCTTCTCTTCGTTTCTTCTTCTCATGTTTTGGGGTTTTTTTTTGTGTTTTTTTTTTTTTTTTTCAAAATGTCAAGATCTAAGAGATTGATTCATACTGGAGATATTTTATTTCAAATTTTATCTTTCATCATATGCCAAAGTTTTCCTTAACCAGAGACACTCATGGTGATTCAGCACAAATGTGCCAGGACAGGGGAGAACTGCCCTGGGACAGCTTGTCCTCCCTGCATTCCACCCTGCGAGGACGGCTGGGTGAGGGATCCCAGGGCACGTGAGCAGTGGAGTCAACTCCTTGCTTTGCAGGAGGCTGAGTCTCCAAGGTGGCACCATGTGCCTTCTGTTGTGTCAATTGCCTTCACATCAAGCACGACTCAGCGACCCTATGAACAAAAGGCCTGAAGCCCCTCTACAACCACTGACATTTATCAAAGTTCATAGAGTTTCTGGAGGCAGGTTGTTTAGGAAGTGGGTGCCACTCCTGCTTCCAAGCCTGTCATAGAATGTTGTTGTTGTTATGTTCCTTCCCTCTAGGTGTGCAAATAACCCCTGTTGATAATTCATTTGCTTACTGAAGAATGTCACTCATCATCTTACATGTCATGGAGCCAGAAATGACTCCGAGTGTCCCTATGAAGGAAGAAGAGGTTGAAATCTTAGCTTCTCCTGTGCCGTTCTCATGACGCCCACTGTGGTGCGGTCACTGAGTCCATCTTGATGAGGACCTTCCTCTCTTGTTCTGACCTCCACTTTTCCCATAATGTTTTTTACCAAGGACTAAGACCTCCTGACAACCTGATCACCCACGGGAGACCAAGTTCCACCATTGGTGACTCTAGAGGAACACCCCAGTTGCAGAGCATCTCAGACAGATTTTTCCCTTTTAACAGTCCATGTTATAGTCAATATTCTTCACTAACACCACAATTCAAAGATAGCAATTCTTCAGTCTTCTTTATTCATTTTTCCGAATTTCACGTGCATGTGAAACTTCACACTAAAGCTTTCTTTGTTTGTTTTTCTCTTTCTCCTTTTCCTCCTACTTTTGATTGTAATTTGCGCAAGTGGTTACAGAGCACATTGGTTCCCACTCAACAGTTCATACACATGTTTGTGACCTTGATTGCAATCCCCACAATGTTGCATCATCTTCCCACTGCCTCCCTGGTCCTCCCGTTTCCTTTTGTCCTTTCCCCCAGCATTCTCACAGATTCATGAGCAAATCATATGTCAGGAGAGCAGGTAAGCTACATACACTGTGAGGCATGGAGAGATGGAAATGCTGGTGAACAGAAATTAGGTTATGGCCTTACATTTGAAATAAGAGGATTTTTTTAAGACCCAAAGCATTGAAGTTATTTAACTTTGTGTAAATGCTTTCCTGTCTATGTGTATGCCACATGAATTCCAGTCTTTAAAATGTATCTTCTTTGTATTAAGTGGAAGTACTTTTGTTAAATCCATGCTATCTACTAAAAGTCTTTGTTAAGACTTTAAATATTGATGTTTATTGAGGCTAAATAGAGACACAATTTTAACTTTCCAAATTCTCTTTATTTTCTTTGCAATGGTTAAGTTTGGGTGTTGCTGTTATGTGCCATTGAGTCACTTGTGACTCATAAGTGACCCTATGCACAAAAGTTCTGAACCCTGCCCTATCCTGACTGTCCCATTACCCCAGTTTCTGTGTCAATAAATCTCCTCTAGTGTCGTTCTCTCTTGCCTGTCCCTTGCATGATGTCCTTCCCTAAGGACTCTCCTCCAAAGTCTCTCCTGGCCACATGCCCAAAGTATGTGAGATGGAGCTTTAAAATCCTTGCCTCTAAGGAGCAACTTGGTTTCACCCTATCCAGGATAAACCTGTTTGTTCTCTTGGCAGTCCATGATATGTTCAATACTCTTCTCCAACACACAACTCAAAGACCATGATTCTTCTTTCCTCATCCAATTCTCATATCACAGCAAGCAATTGTGAAGACCATAGCATGAATCAGGTGCATCTTAGTCTCCAAACTGACATCATTGCTCTTTAGCTCTCTGAAGAGGTCCCTGACATGAGATTTTCCTAATGCAATCCATCTTTTGATTTCTTACACTGATATTCTTACATTTTTTTAAAAGGGTAGTTTTTCTTGTTTTATTTTGATATGTCTTGATGGAAGGGGTAGGTATTCTTGTCCTCATGCAGCTTAAGTGATAGCAATCAATTTACTCTTTCAGAAATCTCAATGAACTGTAAGCTGAGTATAGGACTGTTAACCAAAAGATCAGAAGTTTAAATCTACTAGCCAGTCTATGAATAAAAGATGTGACAGCTTATTCCTATAAATATTTTACAGTGTTCCAAATCCTATAGGGCATTTCTACTCTCTCCTATAGGTCCCTGGAATCAGTTCGATTATAGGGAGTATTTGTTGTTTCTGTCTTTGGATGTTACAAAATTGGGGTCCTCATGTGTTGTAATTAGTTTGCACAATATTTGATGTTTCCAATACTCAACATTCTTACCTATCTTGTTCTTGGCAAATAGAAATAGCTATCTAATTTTGCATTGCTTCTTGTTCTATCATGTTGTTTAAAACAAAATCTGCTACTCGAAGATCTTAAATGACTAATATATTCAGCAGTGATTTTATTATTAAAGTTATGCTCTAACTCATTGCAATAGAAACAAGTAATCCTTCTTTCTGCATCAATTGCATCAAATGAGTGTTACTGAGTAATATTTCAGTTTGAGGAGTAAACTTAGATGAGAATTATGATACTGTAAGGGGCCTCCAGATCTCCAGAGAGAAGGGAAATGAGCAGAGTGTGAAAACATGGTTGGCCTATTAAGTCTGTTCAAATACTAAGCTTCTTGTGAGCTTTTGAAAGTCTTCTAGCCACTCACTGTGAGGGTTGGGGAGGAGGCAGACACACGTACCTAACTATCCAGTTCTGGAAGTAATGGTATTAGAGAGGCGGTCTGTATTGGACTAGATCCTACCCCACTCCCGCCCTTTCCTCACTGATGGTCGTTGCTGGTTTTCTGTGAGGGATTGTCTAAAAACATTTCCCGAAGTCTACAAATGAGACGATGACTGATATACAATAAGGAGGGAGCCACATTCCTCTCTTCTTTCTTCAGGGACTAGGTTTAGTTTAGAAATGGCACATATAGAATACTTTATTTTCTTCTTATTTCTTGACATTTGTATTAGATGAAGGGTTGGCAGGGAACACCACTCCCTCCTTATTCTGTTTCATTGTCCAGCCTGACTTGGGACCCTGGATGAGTCACAGAACAAAGACTGGGGAGCAGGACAGAGTCCGGTCACAGACAAAAGTTGGGTTTTGTTTCCAAACCCACCAGGATGGAAAATCCAGTCTGTCACTTGCCTATGTGCTTCCAGATAAATTCCTAAACCTGAATCTCCACTTCTTACATTTAAAATGGAGATAAAAATGACTACCTCTCAGGACTTGGGAGAGACGGAAATTAGGTCGCCCATGTGAGGTGCCTAGCAGAGTGCCTGGAATATCCCCCACTCCAGTGAGGGCTAGAGTCTCTCCCTGATGACATTCGTTCAGTTGCAGAAGAGGAAACAATGTTTTGGGGAACTAACCTGTTAATTATTCTGAATATTATTTTTATGCAAAAAAGTGTTCTGGGTTTTAGCAACCTGTCTGAAGTTCTTGGTAAGCAGATTGATGAAAAATAAATGGTGTTAGTTTTAGTTTTAACTTTTTATTGCAATTTTGGTGAAACTCACAGAGAAAAATAGTTTCCCAACTCAACAATTTGTATATTTTGTTCCCTGGCATTGACAGTAATCTCCCAATGTGACAGCACTTTTCCCACTTTGAGTCTATATGTCCCATTTTCACCAATCCTTTCCTGCCTTCTAAGCTTTCTTCCTGGATGAGTTCTGCCCTTTTGATCTCATAAAGCTGATTGTTCTAAAAAGAATGTTAATTCATTATTTTCATTTTTTTATTAATACAGTTACTGGTGTGCTAGAACTTGTTTAGTTAATGTGAAAAGAATCAAAAGAAACATGGAACAGGGACCATACATAGTAAAGATAACAGAAAAACACTGCTAAGAGCCTCGTTTATACCTTCAGCTGCACTTATTCTCTGAGCTGTGTTAATTCTAAAATCAGCCATTTTGAAGAATTAGAAAGTTGTTTAAATATAAACTGGCTCCTTTTCCTCAAGGGTTGGTTACTGCAGCGTAGAAAAGAATGGTGTATGTTTTCTTCCATAAGATGGCCATGAGGAAAGGCCGGTCCACCTGGACGATCTCAGGATTGTCCACTGGGCCTGTTGGGTCACTGAGGAATGACCCGGAGTCACCTTCTGTGACCTGTAGAATGGGCCTGTGGAATATCTTGGAGACCACCAGGCCTCCTCCTGCAGTAATGCCGGACAAGTTAGCCAGCGAGGGGTCCAAGACATCAGTCATTCCCAAGGCCCCCATGATGGAGGTGAGGTCCTCCTGGGACCCTTCCAGCCTGAGCTGGGGCAGGCGCAGGTCCACTGCGGTGTCTGCCATGTTGGCCAAGCTGACCCAGGTTTTCAGCTTCTCAAAAGTGACTTCTCTGATGACCTACAAAAAGAAAGCAGGATGTAAAACCCAGCTGAATGTTATTTAGAAACTAAAGTATACAAAACGGGAAGCATTCTAAGGACTGAAGTGAGGCTGTCAAAAGGTAGAGACTTCTCATGGCCATTTGTGTGTGGGAGTGAAAACGATGGGCAATGTCTTCCCAAACCATTTTGAAAGCTAGATTGTAAGTGCTGTGCCCAGCGCATCAGAGCAAGTTGGGGAAATGCAGCACTTCCAGACCAGAGTCAGAAACATGAAGTTCTGAGTGAAAGGGACATTTTCAAAGAGTTAAAATAAATTGGGAAAGATGTCCAGCACTGGGAATTTCTAATTCTCTTCCATTTATGATGCCTCTATAAATGGCATGCTGGCTCAGTCATTGATTGTTGAGAGAGAGTTGATCTATTTGACCACCCAGAAACTCAGTGGGGAAAAAAGACTGATCTTAGGAATGGTGAACCCATAAAAGTCATGGCCCAGGGAACTCTGGGAGACAGTTTTACACTGTCACAGAGTCTCTGGAATCTGAACTCACTGAACCCCACCAGAGTCTTAGCTCTCAATCTGCCGTCACTGCCCTTTCCCTCATCTCTTTCCCACAGGACATCTTTTCCAGAAACTCCTTGTTCCATTTATCATCACCCAGAAGAGGTTCACATTCAAAATTATTAGATTATTTTGGGAACAGAATCTTTTGGGAGGTAGACATTTCATACACCAGTCAACGCAACTTCAAGGAAAAGAGTAATAATTTCACACAGAGTTGCCATTCACCATATGTGTGAACGAGCCAGTGTCTTCAATGCATAGTCATTTAAGAAGCCAAAGATGACTGTCCGCCACCCAGAGTGGAGCACTGGTGTTGAATGTTGCAACAGAAGAAAAGTAGACATGTGGGGCAAACTCATCAAGGGTCAACAAAGGAGAGGGAAATCCAAAGAATTGATTGGCCCTGTGGCTTCAGCAATGGGCTCAAATGGAGCCATGGTTGTGAGGTTTGTGCAGAGTCAGCAGGATTTCTTCCTGTTGTGTGAGGGATCCCAGTGGGTGGGAACCAGCTCAAAACACCTAAGGAGAACAGGGAAGATCTAGGCCCTTCCCCTGACTCCTCACTCTTTCAGGTGATTATATCAGGCTGTGTATTCACTTGGGAATCTTCCTGCTCTTTAGAACTTTAATGTGTGTGTTTTGTTTTGTTTTTTAAATGGCACATTTTCAGGACCCAGGTCAAGTTTATTGAACTTCACTCACCAAGTGCTAAGATTGTAATTAAGTACATTGCCTTAGATGAGTGCCACTTATTTGACTTTTAATAAGATCACAAATTTGAGAGTCGTAGATAACCCTAGAAGCACTCACTTTAACTTTTCCATTGGAAGGATCAAGTAAGCGAGGTCTGGAAAGGTAGACTTGCTTACAGTAAGTTCAGAAAACCATGTTTAAATCAACTCTGTGGAAAAAGTATTGGGTTTGATCACCTACATTGTCTAGTCTTGGAAAAGAGCCCTGGGGATACAACGGATAACTTTTCATCAAAAAAGTCAGAGAGGTTCGAACGTCCCAGTGGGTCAGGGCTAAGGAGATCTGATGCTCTACTCCCATGAAGATTACACCCAAGGGAAGGAAGCCGATGGGGCTAGTCTACTCTGGGTCATATAGCAGCCCTACGGAGTTAGAATTAACTGTTCAGGACTTGGGGGGAGGGATTGTATCACAATGAAAGGGGTTTTTTTAATCTTTTTTAAAGAGAAGAGCAAATTGGAGGGGGCAAGGTGGGCAGGGAGAAAAGTGCAACAATGAATGAATTGAAATCCAAAGTCTCTGTAAATTTTCATTAAAATGAATAATAATAATAATAACTAGTCATGTGACTGTATTCCTAAGAGCACCACTCTCCTGTCAGTTGTTGTTCTGTGGTGCATGGCGTGGGGCTATGATGTTGGAAACGACGCCACAGGTAATTCCAGCACCAGAGAGTGAGCCAAGGCCCACAGGTTGCAATAGATTCCAGGATGACGTGGACTAGGAAGCAGGACGGACTGACCGTCCATTTCAGAAATAATGGGCCCTTGAAAATCTCATGACTGTCAACAAGACACTACTGGTTACAGTACCTGAAGATGAATCTCTGAGGTTGAAGGCACTCGAAATCAAGTGGGCGCCTGCACAGTAGAGACCGTGAGGACAGAATAGGGATCAGAAGCAGGGGTCTGTTCAGTTGTACATAAAGTAGTTATGAATTTTAGCCAACCCAATGGCACCCAACAACAACATGTCTGAAAAACCTGAATCTCTTACAAGCGATGCACTTCAAGTTCCTTGGTATTTATTCAACTTTGCCTTAGGGATTCTGCTTATTAGTATTGTTTAAATGAACACACTAAGAGCTGTGATGGCCTCGAGGTATGAAGCTAAACTGCATCCCAAAGGAGAATGGTTTAAATTCACCTCCTCTGCAGAAGGATGGCCAATCTCATCCCGTGAGATTTAGTGTCTCTGAAAACCACTGGAGGATCAGCTATGGGTCTGTTCCATCTTGATGACACATAACAGCAACAATTAAAGAAAGTAGTATCAATAAAAATCATTCATTTGTTGTGAATTCCAACTCCTGGAGCTCTTGTTTTCTCAGAAGTAGGTACCTAGGTCTTTCTTCCAAGATGCTTTTGGGTGGACTCAAGCCTCTAAACTTCCATTCAGTAGCCAACTACATTAAGTGTTTGCACCTCCCAGTGGCTCAGAGTACATAAGCCAAACACAGTCAAAGCTATTGAAAAATTCTTATGAACAGCGTCTATACACCAAAAAGTGGAACTAGCCTATAGAGTTTCCAAGGCTAGAAATGTCTGTGGAAACTGACTGCTACATCCGTCTCCCACAGAGCATCTGGTGGATTTGAACCACTGACCTCTTGATTAGAAGCTAAGGCCTTTACCTTCTGCATCACCAGGGTTCCAAGGCTGTGAAAACAGTTACACGTAAATCTTCACACATTCAGTAGGGATAAGTCTCAAGCAGGGAGCCTTTCTTTTGTGACCGAAACTGCAAAAGCTCAACACTTTACCTGGCCCAGGCCCACGTTCTCTCCGGGTAGGATGATGACCAGGGTCAGGTGACCCTCCACGTCAGGCACCTCAAGGACCTGAACGCCTGGCTCCTCTATGGAGCCCAGTTTGAAGACACCCTGCAGCCGTCTCATCTGTACCACTTTGCTCCCAGACTGCGAGGAGAAAACAATGACCGTCAAGGCCTGGCTTTTAAGTCCGGAGGGAGTTGCACTGGTAACCCAGGGGCTACACTTCTCTTGGGATTGGAATCCACCAGTGAACCCTACAGAAGAAAGATGGGTATTCTCAATCGGCACAGTTATAGTCGAAGACATCTACTGAAGAGTCAAAAACGAGTCAGCTTCAACGCCACAGCAGTAATGCATTATTTAAGAGAGAACATGTCCCTTTTTATCCTTCCTCCAAAATTGCTCACAACTGTGACAACAAAAGGTCTGTGGTAAGCCACTAATGTGAGGGTTTATAGAAAGTGAAAGCCTAAATGGTGATACCACTCTGTTAAAAATGATAGTACACTGATCTAGTTAATTACACAAGAATATCTTCATAGAGTATTTTATTTTAAAGCATATATTTAATTCAACCTTTAATAATTTTGCAAAGAAGGGTACGTGTGTATTTTATTATAATCTGACTTGAATTCATACGTTTTTAGCTTTAGTATTTAACATTTTGTAACAAATAAACCTTTTTAAACAACAACAACAAAAAAAACCCCGAAACCACCTCAAAGTCCTTGCGGTCCACTTGGAACCAACTCCTAGTTGACCCTCCATTACGTTCTCAGGGCTATAAACGGCACCGCAGAGATTGCCCATCTTTTTTCTATGGCTTTCCTAGTGGATTCTAAGTCCCAGAGAGGTGTGGCCTTTGCATTAGCAGATCAAATCCATGTGCATGATGCTACCAAAGATCCCTGAGGGCCTCAAAAGACTGCTGTGAACGCTCCAAGGCCAAACTGCTAATCTTTCAGTTCCAAACAGATGCCAGGATTATGATACATGACTCTCTTTTCCACTGTCATCCAGTCTGAATTGACTCACAGCTCGCCCTCCAGTGGGTTTTCAAAAGCAGCAAACCGCACATGAGGAGACGGTGCATCTGTCTGCCATGGGGCAGCTGGTGAATTTGAACTGTCTACCTTTGGGTTGGCAGCACAACTTACCTGCTGGGCCACCAAAGGTCCTGTTGATACATACACTTTTACTATATTTTATGTCCTAAAAATCTATTTTCAGTATTCTTAGGTAGATATTTCTGGCTATGACTAAAGTGTTCTGCTCTAGAGAAGGGCAACAAGTGATGTGAACTGAGAATACTATTATCCTCACAATCACTTGGTATTTATTTTACAGTTTAAGAACCCACTTATGCAGAAATATAAACCTGCTATTTTTATAGCTGGCCATAATAAATCTTAAATCTACCTATGATTTCAAGTAATGCTAGGTGGTCTCGAGTGTTGTTGTTGTTGTTATGTGCCGTCGAGTCGTCTGGTCTCGAGTAGATATATTTGAAGGGCATAGGATTTACTTATCATTTTTCATTCTCAGAGCTGACTCTTTACCTGGTTCCAGAGGCTGTAAGTCACATGAAAGGAGAATGTCCATCTCCGTCCTCTGGAGCTGCTGGTGGACTCAACCCGTTACAGAAGCGCAGCCTTTGGGTGGGCAGTGCACCTCCCTCCGCATGAGGCTCCAGAGCCCTCTTCCTTATCACATGCAGATCCATTCGTTCTCATTTTAAATAACACATCTCGTTGTGTCTATAGCCTGAGACTGACAATACTTACAGGGAACTACAAAAATAATTAAGAAGACTTAGGGTAGTGGCAGGGCTGCGTACTTGGAGTCTTTTAACTTTGAGTGTGAGTCTTGCATTTTACAAATGATCTTCCTGTTACTTCTGTGACTCTCTATTATCGTTCAGCCTGGTCACTTGACATCATTTCTAGTTTGTAAGAGCTGAATTTTTTCATGAAAGTCTAAGCATAGTCTTGAGCCAGACCCTATTTTAAACCCTTTTATTATCTCTATTTTACAGATGTTTTCTTTCAATTGGACAAGATTATGGGTAAAAATAGTATTTCTATTTCTAAAGAGGATAAAAATAACATGGAGCGTTTAAACCAAAGTCTTACAAACCTGATTGTGCATTTAATGATTTTTTAAAAATTTTATTTTATTTTTTTAGTTTTGTGTGTGTGTATACTGTCAAATCGGATCCGACTGGTACAGGAGGATAGTGTCCCTCCTTCCCCAGCAGAGCATCTGATGGACTCGAACCCTGTACTTCTGATTACAGTGCAGCTTCTTGCCACTAGGCCACCAGAGCTGCCTACATTTAATAATTTTATAGATGCATTAGTCATTAGAAGTTAATTGACTTAACTAAAGCCATAAAGAGAGCTCTGGTAGCATGGTGGTAAAAAGTTGTGCTGCAATCCCAAAGGCATGTGGTTCAAATCCACCAAAAATTCCCCCCGCAGGATAAGAATGGGCAATCTCCTCCTATGTCATTAACGGCATCTGACAACCCACCAGAGGTTCAGCTATGAGTCTGGTTTGACTTGACAGCACACACAAAACCAACAAAATTACAAGGGAGACCTGGTGGCCTGCTAGAAAGAAGCTGCGCTGTTAGACCAGGGCACACAGTTTGAACCCACCAATTGCTCTCCTTGAGAAAGATGGGCAATCTCCTTCCTTGCAATTTATAGCCTCTGAAAGCCCACTGGAGGGTCAGCTATGAGTCCGTTCCAACTCGGTGGTACATCACAACAAACATAAGCTATTCATTTTAGGGGTAAAACGTTTGAGGGTTCCTTGAAGGGATAAAAGAAGGTAAACCGTGAGACGACCTCACTCAGTCTGAACATCATCTTTTGGGCTTGGTCTTTCTCAAAGGAGTATTTCCAGTCCCCTCAGAAGAAGATGGCATTGACCAGCACCAGTTGATCAGAAGACACAATGTCATCAGACGATAAGAGGCCTGGGATCTCACCTTTGAGGAGGAAATAAAAGAAGGGTAAAACTTGAAAAACAGCTGACACATGGCAAGCAGACACTAGAGAATGCTCTGGAACATCCTACAACTATACTCACCATCGGCTTCTGCTCTAGACCAGTCCATATTATTGACACTCAGTACATCTTCAAGTGAGCAGAAAAAGAATTTTGAGCAAATATACAACATTCACAATTCTTAACAGATGAAAAATATAGGATATAGAAGAAAACAGAGTTGGTGCAATGCCTCTCTGCTTATTTTATAGCAATGTATAAAATTATTGATGAATTTTTCTTATTTTCTACACTTAATAATTGCTATACTCTTACCACATCTCTGTTATTCTACCTTCAGTACAATTTACTACCCTAATAGTAGTTTCAACTCATTGCTGTCTAGTTGGAGGCATTCATAGGTAACCCCAGAAGGCTTTCAAAGGTTGTCAATCACACAGGAGAGTGCCCATCTTTCCCCCAAGGAGCTGCTGGTGGATTTGAACTGGTTAGGTTTAGGTTAGCAACACAACTCTGTATAGACTGTGGCACCAGAGCTCTAGCGGCCTCGTGGGCAGAGTTGTGCAGCTAACCCAAAGCGGGACCTCTCCGGCAGTTAAATCCAGCAGTAGCTGCTTGGGAGAAAGATGGTCATTGCCCTCTTGTGCAATTACAGCATCTGAAAACCCACTGGAGGGGCACCTATGAATGAGGCAAGGAGTTGTCATTTTACCCGAAGTGTGATTTTTTGAAAAAAATTTTCTTTTTTTTTTTTCGACAAAACGCAGAAGAAATTATGGGACTGAATCAAGTACGTTGCAACAGATGAAGGAGAGACTGTTTAAAAGGAATATATGATTAGGTATTATTGTCATGTCAGGAGTCTTGACGGCTTTACAGTGTAGTGGGCTTGAAGGGAGGGAGTGCATAGAA